TGACAATTAAGTGTTGCTTAACGGTTGAATTTGCCTACACTGGTTACCTGGCATTGAAATGTTATTAGGCCTGATTAGACGATTATACAGAAACGCTGGTTGTGTGAATGGGTTGCGACGCGCAGTCTCAATGTAGACCGCGCTTCACATTGAAGTGAACGTTGATTACTGCGATGACTGGGACCGTAGCCGAAGAAGATGGAAATTAGGTGCTGCCCGCGCAAAAACTCTGCACAACCATGACGCGTTTCGATATCATTTTATCTCATCAGGTAGAGATAGCAGGCCTCGAATCCGAAACCATTGGAATAGTAGTCGAAACTTCTATCCCTTTGGCTAGCTGCTCACGACGGGCAAGGCTTGGCACAACGGTTAATGACTGACTGGATGACCATGTAGAAGTGCAATTTGTGTGAATGGATTGCGACGCGCAAGTGCAGTGTGAACCGCGATTCGCGTTGAAATGAACACTGGTCAATCCGAGCACTGAGCCAGGAACCGATAAAACAGATGAACATCTGGTGTTGCGCGCAGGAAACGCTGCGCTACGCGACCAGTTTCTAACTCATTTGCTCATGATAATTAGAGATAGCAGGCACTCGAAGTTGGATCCCTTGGGATATCAGCTGGAACCCCTGCTCCTAAGCCACTGAGTTACGATGAGCAACACTTTTCAAAGCGAGTGCTTCAAAAGAATCGCTCCATCAGTCATTAAACTTTAGGAGAATCGTTGCTCGCCGTGAGTAGGTAGCTTAAGGGCAGAGGTCTCGGCTATCTTCCCAAAGACCCAAGGCTCGAGTCCCCGCTATTTCTGCCTGATGATACCAGATAATTTCAAAATCGTTCGTGTATTGCAGTTTTTCCGGCGGTAACCACCAGGTATCCACCTGATTAGGTTTGCTTCACGACCTACATAGGACTTGAAAACACCGGTGATAACTGCATGCGCTATTTCCGAAGTTTCACACTCTCGTTGATACGTGACCGATACATGGGCCAGCTGTTCACTGTGATTGCGGAAACGGATCGAACCTACCGTTATCAAAAGATTGGACTTAAATCTTGCCTATTCTAACATGTTGTTAATGGAAAAGCTTCTGAGTTCTTGGAGGATCAATGAAATCTATGGATGTTTACGCCGCCCGAATTTGACCACTCGGTTAGGAGGTCATAATCAGGTTTAGTTAGAATATGCTTCCGCTGAGGATTTGACAAATAAAGTTGGGTGTTAAAGGCCAGAAATGTGATGCATCTATGGTTTTGATTGCTTATGTTTAATGGAGAAACAAGAGAAGGGTAAAACTGTGGTTCAGGAAATGGTGAGAATTTAGTGGTAACATTTTAGTACCATCAATAATAACCACATCGTGGGAATAGTAAATGCCCAAGAACCACCCCGCGCAACCAGTACCCACTCGTCAATCAAGCAAAAAATCAGACAGGATAAACATTCGGTTGTAGAACCATGATTAAGAGCAAATTGCCGGTCGAATGCACTCACTCGTAAGTTTCCGCGTTTGTGGTTTAGTGAACCAGTATGTATGAAAGCACAGCGTCCGATAATAGCCCTGAACGCTATCTTGTGGTCTCAGTGTTGCCAATGTTTCCACAGCTCTAGCAGCTGTGAACGTTCCATCTGAGAAACTAAAAACAGCTGAATGATCCTATATGTACGATATATGCCGAGTTAATTGATTACTTTTCGCCGTGACTTCTAAGTCAGGTAATATCCTATGCTCCGAAAATTCACTGGACTTCCAGTGTCTAGGACTTGTAAGCAAGTCTAAAGTCTGGTATATCGAGATCCTCGGATCAACTGGTCCAAGTTATTTTGCTTTTATTAATTTATTGCAAATCTCTTTTTATAATATTAATAAAACTATAGTAATAAGAGCACTAGTATTTCTCACGATCTGAGGAACTCACTGTAGTGGCACAGAACAATATGTGCAAAGGTAGCCATGCTCTTGCATGGGCGATTTACATATGTGCAATATTAAGGCATGAGCTCCGTGTGATATCGGTTTAGTAACTGGTCGAGGCGTAGGCCAAATTTTGGGAAAGTGGGTGTTTAGACGGCTTTGAAAACTCGTAATTCGCTTTCTTCTCCGTCGGTTTTTCCAACTCTACTTCATAAATTTTGTTTGAAATGTTCCCTTAGTAAAGTGTGGTACGGCGAATTTATGTGGTTTCTGTGAAGCTATAAGCAGCTGGACGGCCACCACACATCCATGGATACGCAAGATGGCCGTTTGCTACTGCAGGGAATCGTCAGTGATGCGCATCCGCTGGGAACTAACAGATCCTCTGTAGATAGAGTGCACAGATTACCGGAAACAGTATAAGTGGTCCGTTCAAGACCTTTTTATTTATCCTATCTCAAAGTGAAAAGGTATTAATACTATGGTTGCAAAGAATATCTCACACTCTTTCGGTGCATTAAAAAACATGTGTTGTATAGATTTGAAATACTCGGAAATCCTGACTGATACCTTCCCACGTTGATGACACTCATTATGGACCATCGGAACCTACTGCCAATGCTAGAAGCCCAAATGTCTTGATACACAGCTGACAGAGAACTCTCAGTGCAATGAAGTACTTGGCTTAATATACATGACATCATGTGTAAGCAGTACTTATTAATTAACTATGGTCTCAAAAGTGTGACACCTGAACACTAGCTTATGCTAAAGCAAATATTGTTTTGCTGCATTTTAAGCGTGCCTAGTAATCGTATGATCAAATTAGATATGAGCGATAATGTGTTGCAGCTTCGGAAAGCCCATGCGTTCATGCACTTCTGCTAGGGCGCGGGGTCCACGCTACAACGCGATAGAGCCGAGTGTACACCAATCTCTTATCCTTGGGGATGGATTGTACGTACTTTAGAATAGAAACTAGGTGCAAGTACTTTCGTTAAGGGTTGCTCTTCTCTCTCTGGTTTTTGTGCAACGGTGGGGTTTACCTTCGTCGCAAGTCTATGTGTTCATTCCCTTGAGCGGTTGTCTAAAATATTGTTCGTCCAGTAGCTGGGAATGGTGGATTGGTCGACCTGAATTTTTTTAGCCATCCTGCCTACGGAAAACATTAACAACACCGTCGTTGCTTCTTTCGAATGAGAAAATAGCGGCACAGCAGCCGTTTCGGCGCGAATGCTCGTAAAGTACAGGCAATACAAATCATTACATGATGGTTGCGTTACATGATCTGTGGATTTCTTTCCCATTCGCGAATGGTTAGTGTATATGCTATATGGAATGATGGAGTGCTGGTTTTTCACAAACTAAAACGCTATCGTTCGGCAAGCTGCGTAGGATGAGGAGGATACACTGCACAATGGTACGATTAAACGCGTTGAGTAGATGTTTGCATCAGGACACTCACATAAATGCCAGGGTAAAACCACTGCCTTTACTTTGGCTGGACGCTAGTGAGTACAGTATGTTTTCGCTTTAAATATTTCCTTACGCACAACCTAATATCATTTTTCTAATACATTATTAAGTCTGTTTTCGTTACTGCTGACAGTGCGGTACGAAAATACGCTCCATGGTTGAGAATGCCGGAGGTCCATGAATGCAATAACATTCCTGCCGTGTATTTTGCTTGATTAGATTCACCTCATAACTCCCCAGGCGGTTTCTATCCTTGAGGAGCTGGCGCTTCGACACCTGGTCAATGTCAAAACGCCGAAAGCGTCTGTTGTACAATCCTAAAGTTTTCAGTCTACTATTGCACAAGAGATGGAACAAATGCAAAACTTACAGTATCCCTGTTAAGCAGTTACGACAGATTGTGGGAAATAAGTCAGTCTATTCCAAAGCACTCAGTATGTACATGAGTTTGCGGAGCTTATTTGTGCCGTGCACTAGTTCCATTTGCCTCATAAATTCTACCATTATTCCCTAGTTAAGTCCACCTCTTTATGGAAATAAGGTAGATCGACATCGCAATTTGCAAGGTGAAACCAGTGCGATACTGCTCATACGTATTAGAAGATGGAACGAACATCGCCGTCGTTGAAATCTTATATTAAGGGAGTTACTCGAATCATAGCACTATTGTTGGAAGGGGTGTAATTTGCTTGGCATTGTCAGCTTGTAACTAAGTGAGTTGATGCAGGCTCGTGAGAACTCTATGAGCAGTCAACACACATATTGGTTCCGTTCAGCTATACAATCAGTCCGCAAAGCTTACCACGATAGCCGTCTCTGTCATCATTTTGGATTCGATATATTGCTATTTTATATCAAATACATACAGTTTCAACAGAATGCGCGGCTGGTATGCAGGCTGTGCAGCACAAGTATATACAACATGTTATTTATGCAGATACGTCGTCATTGTTTATCCAAATGCGAACACATTAATCATGCTGCCAGTTGCTTTTCGCTTGCTTCACTCGAGACTGGCCAAATCGCGTGTCTGTGACAGGCGACCACTTTATGTGAATGAATACCTACGAGTGTAAACCCACACGTCCCTCTACTTTCGTCCGCAAAGTGGATCGAGAGGACATCTAACTTGACAAACAGCAAGTTCGCAATGTACAGGTCGCAATACTTTGTGTAGGAAGAAATGTAATGGAAAACGCGGATCCGACCAAGCATCCTTAAAAATTTATTCGATCGGATGGAAACTTAGGCTTTGTCGCTACGAGTTACTCCTTTAATTGACAGCCTATGCGGCTTGGGCCACCTTTGTTACTAGCAAAAGTACAAGGTCCTGTTACTGATCTACCTGCTCATGTTTCTTATTAAGGAGACCACACGCGTGATGCACTTTTAATGCAAAATTACCAACAGCCATTACAGCAGCAAGAAGAATAAAGGTCATCATGTGCAACCTTGACTGATAAACGGACACAGAGAATATATGCGCTCCTCTGTAAACTTGGCAATGGCTATGTAAAAATACGATTTATAGGGACATACATTTCGAAATGCTTCTGATTTTGGCAAATGGTCACTGTTGTTTTTAATTTGTTGGTTATTTAGTGGTTCGCCGGGACAGCTTGAAAGGAAGACGCGGTCGGTTATCTTCCAAAACCCGATGTCAACCCAGTGAACACGCCCATAGTAACAATTCGGCGATCTACTCCACCGGTCTTTTCCCCCCGGAGTGTGAGAATTCCTCTTCAAAACGACACAACAGTGTAAACAGCTTATCTGTCAGTCTACCTCGACGATTGGTAGATTCTCACTTTACAGACAATCAGCGCCCCTACTCATCCTCAACAGTGAATTCCACGGTGACACTTTTGTCTATGCTGACCAAAGCTTATGAACTAGTAGGCCCAACAACACAGGACACCGAAAGCTTGTCTTTTTCATTTCCCGATGGAAGACTACCACAGGCGGTGGGCTGTGACGGGACCACCCCGAATTTCGATGCTCCTCTTACGGTATGTTTTCTATGTGCCTGAATGTACCTGTACTAACGCGTGTTTGTTCATATGGTGGACACGCATACCAGACTGTGTTAACCTAAGCCGCCAATTCTACCGTGGTCGATGTTGTTGTCAAAATAACCCGTGGGCGCCTAACTTCCCGCATGTGTCATTGTGGTGTGTTGCCTGATTATTACTGGATTTGCTGCATTCTTCCTGCTGCTCGGTTTCATGTCGACTAAGCACCTTAATCAGATGGCGTCAGTGGTTGGCTGGAGCCGACAAAGTGAATGAGGGTTTACTAGCAGATTTGTGGTAAAACCAAGATGTGCGATTTCACTGTGTTAATACAACTGACCATCTTTTCGTAATTCGTCATTACAGCTTTAACTAAAGGTTCTCTTAAGCCGATATTTGGACATGAGGAGAAAATACTTGCAGTTGAGTTAGCTGTAGGATTTGTACCGTAGCTACTGCATAATTTGGCACTTATTCAACATTTTTACCTAGCAGAACATATAGCTCCCCTAATTCCTCACTGATGTTAAGCTGGAAAGGGATAGGTAATCTGTTTAAGCATCTGTAGTAAATCGATCACTATCGTCACTTCATTTACGATTGCGCTTCCAAAGTGCCGTTGTGGTGCTCGTCTAAAGAGCAATCTAAGCGTATGTAATCTGTTTAAACTCATCGCCAATGTGTCTAGCGAATGATTTGCGTTGTCCTGACTTAAAGATTCAAGTTGGTTCTATTGAAAATGCCAGAGCTTCCAGCAAGTTTTCAGCCTAATTCAATCTCACTGACTTGCCGCTTGACGTAATCACTCAGGCTTTCAGACAGTGTGTTGGGTACTCAAGGGCCTCTATTGTAATTACGCCCAATATATGAGCTAGACGCCTAATATTCAACGTTAACATACATTAGTTACCCATCTTCGGAAACCCATACAGTCTGTGGAAAGTAACACCAAAAACGTGGTTGACAATTTCGCTGCATGATTATAGACAAAATGTATCCAACTTGGCTGTTGAACTGTCTGTCTAACTGCACCATGTAAGAGAAGCGCCAGAAACGTGCTTCTCAGTAGCTTGAAGTGTGTGGTAGAGTTTTATCCCAGAATAACCACATAAAATTCCGAGGAGAGCACTAGTACCATGATCTGATTGAACCGGCTGTGACCATAAATTAAGTCAACAAATCGTCTAGACCTTCAGGAAGTTTAATTTCGGATGTCTGCTTCTGCCCAGGAAGTTTCTAAGTAATCCGGTTTAAGTTAGGATGCTTAATTGTTATCTACCTATTTAAGCGCGAGTATGCTTACAATATTCACGCCGTTTATGTCACTCTTCCATAAATATTAAATGCTACTCACGGACTAATATGACACATGACCCACTCCACATCGACCGGGACCATCAGCGATGCGGTTGAGTGTAATTTGCAATATAACTAAAATTGTCCACGCAGAAAGGTTTGGGGCTTGAATACAATGCAAACCTGGTCAAGACAAACAAAGTGGCAAAACTCGATGATCAGTCTAGTAACGGGTAAGCTATTGATGCAGTCGAAATTTTTAGCCCAAGACCTTAGCAGAATACGTACTCCCTGTGACAACCACATTGAAATCGGTCCTCTGTTTAGGTTCGGATAACTAAATTATATAAAAAATATAGGGCTATTGGTTTCCACCTTTATTTCTGGACATAATTTGAACAACCACCCGATACCGATAGAGAAATAGGTGTCATTCCAAGACAGTTGTATGGTTGATGAAACACGGCGCAGGTAGGACGAAATGTCCGTACTCATCTACTTTCTCTCTGTGTCCTTCAAACGGCTCCCATTGGGATGCATAGAGCCAACATAAGTAATGAACTGGATTTTATTGTGGTTTCGCTGACTTTTTGGCTGAGTTCTATCCAGCACTATGTGTACTATGGTCACAGTATTTTGCTAATATCCTCTGAATCAGCTAAAATGAAGATCACGTCATCAAACGGAAGAATCTTGACTTTGGGCATCTAGTCTCAACGCATCCAAAGGTCGCTCTATGTCCTGGGACCATGGTAATGAACGAAATGAAGAATAGTAAAGTGATTCGTTACAGAGACTCCAGTGAAAACATTTGGAGGATCACAGACCCCCAGACATTAGTGCTGCATCCACCTTAGATTATTGAGACAGTTTTTGCGTAGAACTTTTCGCTGCCGTCACCTTAAGAACACCTTGCATATGCGCATCGATCTGTGTAAGATAGTTGCCCAACACAGTTCCATCACTTTCTAATAACATCGATTTGGCCGATGCACAATTTGTCTGTACTCGTATGTTATGTTGCCCGTGCCTGTGTGTGTAGTACTTGTGGCTCATTATCACACATGTTGTGGACAATTGAATGCGGCTTAAGACGAGGTGCCTGAAGGACTAACGCATGCCACCCACGGTGCCATAATTATCGTTCTTGCATACATGCTTCACACGTTTCGCCGATGAATGGGATCCCTCGTTCACCGCCCTCTCAAGTTGCTCCACTCATTCAGCCGTACAGCTTGCAATTGGGTCACCCAAAGTAAGGCTGCCACACACAAACCCGCACCGCTGTTTACCTACAAAATGTTGCGTTGATTATGCGGGTGATGTGTGGCACCTGGGTGGATATGTTAAGGCTTGCACCGTTTCGGTTACTGGGTTTTAAAACGGACAAGTGTTACTTTGATTACACCCACACCTGATTAATATACTAGGGCATACGTTGGACCGAAACGAAGCATCCAGATATATTATGAACTGGTCGAGACGCTCCACGACAGGCCGCGTCAGAAAGACGTCTGGCAAGCGTACTGAAAAAAGCCGTATTCGAGCGTGAGAGAACGATGCGAAAAACAACCACGTTGCGTGAATTAGTTTCTCATTGCTGTGTGCAGAAAGGGCAACACTTATCCGAGAGTGGAGAACGGAGTTGCACAGGGTCAGATAGGATAGCACAACGGGGCCCGGTCCCAAAATCTATCAGAATGTCAGGGAGACAATGTTTAGTCAAAATGAAAGACACCGTAGCTTCAGTTGTCTCTGGGCTTCGTGGCTGGGCTTCAAAGTAGCTAAACGAAGCATGATACAAACTAATGCCTATGAAGGGACGGACTAGTATTCGGGGAATCAGTTTACGGCATTAATAGGCGAGATTGTATGGAAAAGGGAGTTATAAGCGTCGCCATGCAGCAACACAGAACGCGATGGATTACTAAACTGGCCATCTATTTGCTATTATGAAGCAATGGTATATACCGGGTAAAAAACGCTTGACAGATCCAGTAGGATAGCCATGAAAAAAAACTTACACGCGAGAAAACCTTGTCGAGAAAAGAAAGCGCGAGATACATGACTCACCAAGCGTTTGTAGTGGCACAAATTATTTATTCCTGCCTAGATTTTAAGTGGATTATGACACAGTCCACTGTTTGTTCTACACTAATGTCATTAGCTGATGGTCTTGAGGTACATTACGTGGTGTAAATGTGATAACGAACCATCAGGCCGTTTTTACCACAATGATAAGGCCTAGGCAAAAATTACATCCAATGGAAGGGAGTCTCAAGACTGACATACGGAGGGAGAAAACGTCTCGTTGACATTCCTGTCGATTATAGAGTGTAATCAACTTAAACTGAAGACCCTTCAAAGATGTGCTTTGACTGAGTTTCAAATGATGGTGGCATGTGTGGTTGAGGTGCTTGGAATCTGATACACCATTATAAGATCACCGCGCGCTATACTTCTTGAGCTTTCCGCCTGAGGTGGTAGGTTGGAGAGCTAAGCAATTGATGTTCTTCGTCGCCCGGTGTTGTGCAATATCGAGCACGGTGTGGCGGCGTTTCTTCCAGAGTTGGCACGCTTGGAGAGCATAATCCATGTGCGGCCTCACGTAGGCAACAAGCATTCCCGGAAAGATGGAGAAATCGAACTTCCCGAATGCCTTACAAAGGAGGCGGAAGTGTTGATTTGCTTCGTTTGATGCCTTTTCGGTCTGCATCAAACAACGTAGGTTATGTTACACGACAACGCCGAGGTCGCTCTCATAGGGAGCGCAATGTAGAATTTGTGACCTTAGCCGGTAGTTGTGAGTAATCTAACGGCACATTACCAGAACGTTGTATTTGGCGGCGTTGAATTGTAGCATGTTTTCGGTGGACAATGTGTAAACTTTATCTGCATCACTTTTCAGGGCTGGGTAAACCTCCATTGTGGTGATACCACGCCATATCTTTAGATCATCAGCAAATAGTAGAAAATCTGATGAGAGCACCATCACTAGGTCGTTTATGGTGATCAGAAGCAGTCGGAATCCGAGCATCGAGACTTGAGATAGGCCGCACTAGGCTTCGATTAGGTCAGATAGGGTGCTGCGATCACTCACCTCCAGATGACAATGAATGAGAAAGTCACCTATCTAGTCCAGAAGTAGACCGCCGGTTATATACTTCCGAAGCTTGTGAAGTAGCGTGTGATGCTCCAGGCGATCGAATGTCTTTGAGAAATCCAGCTTGGTAATATCAAATCGTACGTCAGCATCCGCAGACTCTGTCCAGTATGCGCAAGTTATCAAGAGGTTAGCAGTACAGGACCGATTATGATGAAATCTGCGCTGCTCCGGAGTAAGTATTTTGTTATTCACCAGGCACTACATGTGTGTCTTAGTGATCATTGACTCCAAGATCATGGTGATCATGGTAAGTAGTGTCATCCGGAGATAATTTGCCAGTTCTACACCGCTGCTACTGTTGTACATTAGAGTGACCCCGTGAATTCACATTGTGAGAAGCCGGATCTCAGTAAGACATCGTTGGAAGAATCGGGCTAACGGTTCAGTTGAACACAACAGTCACTTTCAAAGCCTTTGAGCGAATGACGTCTGCACTAGGAGAGCTGTATTCGCGTAAGAATACCAGCCGCTTCAGTAGATCCTTGGTGATATAGGCTAGGTGGTTAAGCACTGATGGCGGTATAGTATGAGTAGA